CCGTATTGACTTGGGGAATTATCACGTATACTCGCATCATTTTTTTCACCCCTATTTTCGCATCTACAGGCACTATTTTAGGAATCACGCAAATTCTTCAATCTTTTGTGTGTTAATGCCATTGATCTGGCGCACGGAGCATCCAAAAATGTTTTCTAAAAAAACTTTATGAGGACATCCGTATTGACTTGGAGAACCATCACATATACACACACTATTTTTTTCACACCTATTTCCACATCTAGAGGCCATTATTTAGGAATTGCACAAATTTCTCAGTTTTTTCGTGTATAATAGCCCATGGATCTAGCGCTCGAAGGAACCAAAAAACATTTCTCAATAAATTTTATGTGGACCTCCGTATTGAGTTGGGGAACCATCACGTATACTCACACAATGTTTTCACCCTCATTTTCGAATCTACGGGCCTTTTTTAAGAAATCGCGCAAATTCCTCAATTTTTCTTCTGTATTAGCACATGGATCTGGCACTCAGAGCACCTAAATTTTTTTTCTCAAAGAAACTTTATGAGGACCTCTATATTGAGTTGGTAACCATTACGTATACTCACACCATTTTTCACCCCTATTTCCGCATCTACAGGCCCTTTATTGAAATCTCGCAAATTACTCAATTTTTCGTGTGTATTATCCCATGGATCTGGCACCTAGAGCACCCTTAATTTTTTTCTCAAAAAACTTTATAAAGACCTCCGTATTGGGTTGGGGAACCATTAGGTATATTCACACCACTTTTTCACCCCTATTTCCCTAATCTACAGACACTTTTATAGGAATCGCGCAAATTCCTCAACTTTTTGTGTGGAGCCTAAGATCTGGCGCTAGGAGCAGCTAAAATATTTTTCTCTAAAAATATTATGAGAACTTTTGTATTGAGTTAAGGAACTATCATGTATATTCACACCAATTTATTTCACACCCTATTTTCGCATCTACAGACCCTTTATTAGAAATCGCACAAATTTCTCAATTTTTCATGTATATTAGCCCATGTATCTGGCGCCCGGAGCACCCAAAATTATTTTTCTCAAAAAACTTTATGAAGACATCCGTATTGACTTGGGGAACGATCACGTATACTAACACCATTTTTTCACCCCCATTTCTGCATCTACAGGCCCTTTTTTAAGTAATCACACAAATTTTTCAATTTCTTTTGTGTAATAGCTTATGGATCTGGCGGCCGAAGAACCTAAATTTTTTTTTTCAAAATTTTTTTACAGGACCTCCATATTGACTTAGGGAACCATCACATATACTCACGCCATTTTTTTCACCCCCATTTTCGCATCTACATGCCCTATTTTAGGAATCGCGCAAAAAACTTTATGAGGATCTCTTTATTGAGTTGGGAACCATCATATATACTCACATCATTTTTTCCACCCCCATTTTCGCATCTACAGACTCTTTTGGAATCACGCAAATTTCTCAATTTTTCGTGTGTATTAGCCCATTGATCTAGCGCACGGAGTATCCAAAAATTTTTTCTCAAAAATCTTTATGAGGGTCTCCGTATTGACTTGAGGAACTATCACGTATACTCCTACCATTTTTTCCACCCCAATTTCCGCATCTAAAGACCCTTTTTAGGAATCACGCAAATTTCTCAATTTTTCATGTATATTAACCCATAGATCTTGCACCCGGAGAACCCAAAAAAAATTCTCAAAAAAAATTATGACTGCCTCCGTTTTGAGTTGGGGAACCATGTATACTAACGCCATTTTTTGTGTGTATTAGCCCATGAATCTGACAACCAAAGCACCCAAAAAAATTTCTCAAAAAAAACTTTAAGAGGACCTCCATATTGAGCTGGGAAACCATCACGTATAGTTGCATCATTTTTTTAACCCCCATTTTCGCATCTACAGGCCTTTTTTAGGAATCACGCAAATTCCTCAATTTTTCGTGTGTATTAGCCCATTGATCTGGCGCTTGGAGCACCTAAAATATTTTTCATGTGCATTATCCCATGGATCAGGTATACTCACACAATTTTTTTCACCCCATTTCCTCATCTACGGACTCTTTTTTAGAAATCGCGCAAATTCGTCAATTTTTCATGTGTATTATCCCATGGATCTGGCGCCCAGAGAACCCAAAAAAAAATTCTGAAATTTTTTTTTTAGGATCTCCGTATTGACTTAAGGAACCATCACGTATATTCACACCCATTTTTTTACCCCATTTCCACATCTACAAGCCCTTTATTAGAAATCGCGCAAATTTATAACTTTTTGGATCTGGCACCCAGGCCACCCAAATTATTTCTCTCAAAATACTTTATTAAGACCTCCCGTATTGAGTTTGAGAATCATCACGTATACTCATACCATTTTTATCACCCCAATTTTTCCATCTACAAGCCCTTTTTTAGAAATCGCGTAAATTCCTCTATTTTTCGTGTGTATTAGCCCATTGATCTGGCGCTCAGAGCACCCAGAATATTTTTCTCAAAAAACTTTATGAGGACCTCCGTATTGAGTTGGAGAACTATCACGTATACTCATATCATTTTTTTCTCCCCCATTTTCGCATCTACAATCTTTTTTTAGGAATAGCGCAAATTCCTATAATTTCGTGTTTATTAGCCCATTGATCTAGCGCTCGAAGTATCCAAATTTTTTTTCTCAAAAAACTTTATGAGGATCTCTTTATTGAGTTGGGAACCATCATATATACTCACATCATTTTTTCCACCCCCATTTTCGCATCTACAGACTCTTTTGGAATCACGCAAATTTCTAACTTTTTCGTGTGTATTAGCCCATTGATTAGGCGCCCGGAGCACCCCAAAAAAATTTCTCAAAAAACTTTATGAGAACCTCCGTATTGACTTGGGGAACCATCATGTATACTCACACTATTTTTGTCACCCCTATTTCAGCACGCGCAAATTCCTTAATTTTTTATGTATAATAGCCCGTTAAAATAGCGCCCGGAGCACCTATTTTTTTTTCTCAAAAAACTATATGAGGACCTCCGTATTGAGTTGGAAAATCATCACGTGTATTCACACCATTTTTTTCATCTCCATTTTCGCATCTAGAACCCCTTTTTTAGGAATCGCGCAAATTTCTCTATTTTCGTGTGTATGCTTTCCATTGATCTGGCACTCGAAGCACACAAAGTTTTTTTTAATTTTTTTAATGAAGACCTACGTATTGAGTTAGTGAACCATCACCTATATTCACACTATTTTTTTCACCCCCATTTTTGCATTCACATGCCTTTTTTAGAAATCGCGCAAATTTCTTAATTTTTTGTGTGTATTAGCCAATGGATCTGGCGCCCGGAACACCAAAAAAAAAATTCTCAAAAAACTTTATTAGGACCTCATTATTGAGTTGGGAAACCATCACGTATACTCACAATATTTTTTTCACCCCCATTTCCGCATCTACAGGCCCTTTCTTAGGAATCGCGCACATTCCTCAATTTTTCGTGTGTATTAGCCCATTGATCTGGCGTCCGCAACACCCAAATTTTTTTTCTCAAAAAACTTTATGAAGACCTGTGTATTGAGTTAGGTAACCATCACGTATACTCACACATTTTTTTCACCAACATTTCCGCATCTACATGCCCTTTTTTAGAAATCGCGCAAATTCCTCAATTTTTCGTGTGTATTAGCCCATTGATCTGGCGTCCGCAACACCCAAATTTTTTTTCTCAAAAAACTTTATGAAGACCTGTGTATTGAGTTAGGTAACCATCACGTATACTCACACATTTTTTTCACCAACATTTCCGCATCTACATGCCCTTTTTTAGAAATCGCGCAAATTCCTCAATTTTTCGTGTGTATTAGCCGACGGATCTTGCGTTTGGAGCACCCAAAAAAAATTCTCAAAAATTTTTATAAGGACCTCCGTATTGACTTGGGAAACCATCAGGTAGACTCACACCAATTTTTTTCACCCCTATTTCCGTATCTACAGGCCCTTTATTAGGAATCGAGCAAATTTCTCAATTTTTCGTGTATTAGCCAATGGATCTGGCGCCCGGAGCATCCAAAATTATTTTTTCTTAAAAAACTTTATGAGGACCTCCGTATTGACTTAGAGAACGATCACGTATACTAACATTATTTTTTTCACCACCATTTCCTCATCTACAGGCTTTTTTTAAGTATCGTGCAAATTTCTCAATTTTTTGTGTGTAATAGCTCATGAATCTAGCGTTCGAAGTACCCAAAAAAAATTTTCTCAAAAAACTTTATGAGGACCTCGATTTTTACTTTAGGAACCATCACGTAGGAAAAAAATACTCATGAATTTCTTATTTCACGACCACTTACCTCTAAAAAAAAGTGGCTTCAATCTTCAAAGACTATGAGTATCGTTCACTAAAGGTTATTGATCTTGCATAGGCTATATATTGTGACACACTCATAGACCTCGCTTTTATTTTTATGTTTTTTGAATCTCAAGGTCCCAAAATGCGAAAGCATCATTATCGGAGCTTTCTTTTTCCTTCCTTTTAGCAACTATGGGCTATAACACATGCATGATTCACACAAGGCAAAAGTCTAAACTATTCCTTTACCTCTTTTGGAGGATTGTTATGGATTATAACATATGCAGCAATGTGATATTTTTACGTTATTAAGAGAGTACTTACTAAGATTTTGATTTTGCCATCTTTAGACATATTTCAATTTCATGTAATAATTGTAGATAGAAAGTGGCACCTTGTATTATGTCATAAGCAGCAACCAGATCCTCCTCCTCCAGCTTTTGGGTCGAATTGACAAACTTGTTTGATTTAGCCTTCCTACAAATACAAAGCAAACACTTCCAAGATATTTTCTGAAAGATCAAAGATACTATACCAGATTTTGCCAAATCCAAAATTACATAACTTGAGTTTAAGGGCTCCATAAAAGAAGCTCCGTTGCTCAAGAAGAAAGACAGGAATAAGTTGGAGGTGCCGACATAGTTGAGAGGTTGGTCAACACTGCTAAGATAGCAAAGGTGGTGTCCAAATCAAAAGGAGTGTTTTTTTTGTATTAACTTCAAACAACATGGTGACTATTCAATACAAGGTTCCTGTATATACATACTATACATACATCCCAACCTGAAAGCAAAAAACGAACAGCCACAAAACTATGAACTTGTCTAAGCAGGATTAACACGAAGAAGAGTCCTAGATTTCCTCAAAGACTGATGTAGTGAAGACGGGAGCTAAACAAAATATGTGCACATGAAACACAACAATTAACCACGACTATACTCTACACTTCAAGAAGAGAAGCCAGCTTCCATTGCACGATATATTGAAGCAGTGTCAAATCGGAAGTTTCTGAAGCTTTTGCCAGGACCTGTGTCCTGGGGACGTGCATCAACTGCAGGTTTGTTCAATTGAATCTCAGCTAAAACTGAGCTGCTTCCGGTGGAACTATTTTTTGCATTCCACACACTTAATCCTACATAAAAGAACTAAACCTTATTAGCCATTTGAATAAAATGTTGTGTCCTAACATCAAGATGCTAAATGAAAGTTAGTGTTAAGACTTCCACTGGACAACGTAATGCAACCTCTCCATAGTAGGCTTCATTAAACTTTTTTTTCTATAGCTAGTACAGTATTGAAGGTAGGTAACTATCATCATTCTTATCCTAAAAAAAAAACTACATCATTCTTCCCAACTTTTTCTTCAGGCAAAAGTTAAAAGGAGAACATACACCGTTGTTTCAATCTGATTTGACTTGGCGAACGGTGCAAAAGGGCTTAGAAGTATCATTGAAGCACAACTGGTGCATCTTCCGTATATTTATTACATCTCAGGGATCCCTAATGAAATCATCTTCAAGACTTTTTTTGATAAGGAAAATAAACCTTGGATCTTACAAGACGCTTCACATGAAAAACCAACGGGGGGAGCGGCATATTCTCCTGTATCATCAAGACTGAATCATATAAACTAGTTCTACCCCAGATCTCCTTTACCAATAAATAGAAGGTCAGAGGAGCTTGTGGCTGGTTTTGTCGAGAAGAAAATTGGATCAGTTATGCAAAGTAGTTATCAGTTTTGTGATTGTTGAGACCAAACAACCAAAAGAAGAAATTAGAATCCCATCCCAACCACTTGTTTTCTTTGAGGGTGGACATGGAAGGTGTAAGAGATTCAAATAGATGCATGTAACCAACGAGAATGGTCAAGGGACTGAAAGACGGGAGATCCACCTTACCCTATATATGGACCTAATAATTTATAATGTTTGAAATGTTTACTTATACCATCATCTTAATTACCTTACTGTCTCATAGATTGATGCAAAGAGTAAAGTTTCCACTTTATCAGAAACAATCTTTCTACCCCACAAAGGTAGAGGTAAGGTCTGCATACAGCCTAGCCTCCACATACCCCACTTGTGGGATTACACTGGGTATGTTAGTTGAAATGTCTACTACGACAATCATCTCACTTACCTTCATATCTCATAGTTTGATGCAACGAGTAAAATTTCCACATTAGCTAGATGTTAGATATACAAGTAATCTGCAATAAAATATGACTACTGAACTCAAATAGGAAAAAGATTAAATAGGCGAGCATCCTAGCCCAACCTACTTGGCTTTCACGAAGTAAATTGGACCTTCTAAGCTAGTTTCCAGAGGACAGGTTATTCAGTTCAAATAACAGTCCAGAATGAAATAAATGTGCTAGATAGAAGTGTTAGCTAGTCCAGAAGAGAGGATTTGAGGCAATGAAGAAAGAGAGACTGCACCTCTTGAAGGTCTATCAAATCTAGGCGCTACAGGAGGCTGATGTGCTGAAATCCAAGATCTCAAAGATCTGTGAGAAGTTAAGAATCATTAGAAAAGAATTAAGGGGATCCGCTAAGTTAACAAGATAAGCATTTCACTCACGATAAAAATGGAGAAACCATGTAGAGCTTGAGTCCAGTCATCCCACGAGATATGATTTCGCTAGTTGCTGGTTGAAGTTCATCCAGTCTTTGCCATGCAATTTCCTGAATTCAAAGTGCAAACCAACAAATGTTAGAACTCACAAAAGAAGCAGTCACATGTTTGCATGCAATGGTGCACTCTTGTGTTTAGAGAATAATCATCTATGTTAAAGTAACAACTGGGAGAGCAAGAAAGTATGTGCATGTTACTATAATTAACTTACAAAAGATTCTCTGCATCTAGATGAAGAAGTGGTCATTCTAGATAGCATCTAAAGTATTGAGTTCATGCACAATCCATGACAGCAAAGACAATCCTTAGGAAATCTTTTAAGTAAATGAAATCAATGGTAACTCAATAAACCCCTACCCACACCCACACACAACAAAAAAAAGGTCTTAACAGTTGTTAACACTTCATGTCCAAGCAAATAATGGCTTAAGAACATCCAGCTCAAATGTATCAGCAGAACACACCATACAGAGTAAAAATCTCATTCACAAAACCTTTCTACATGACATGATACTGAGAAACATGAAGTTCAATGGAAGTAAAATTCCATAGAGATCTCCTGCTCTAAATAGTCATACAAAGTAGGATAGTAAGCTCAGAAATTATCTATTAAAACATGGGCTTTTAAAATCAAGACTACAACAACCCAGTGTAGTCCACAAGTGGGGTATAGGGAGGGTAGGACGTACGCAAACCTTACCCCTACCTTTGTGGCGTAGAGAAGTTGTTTCTGATAGACCCTCGACTCAACAACAACATAGCCAGTGAAATCCCACAAAGTGGGGTCTAGGGAGGGTAGTAATGAAAAGAAAAACGGCAATAAAGCAAACGTGGCAACTAATAGGAAAGCAGTGCAGAACATACACACAAGGAACAGTAACAGCAGAAAAATCTGATCACCTAAACATAATAAACAACAGAAACTACATGAATAAGGCTAATACTACAACAGAAACGGTGCTCAAGAGTCAAGACTACCATCAAGCCTAATTCCGTTGAAAAGCAAGACAATGCTCAACTACCTACTAACCTTCTACACTAATCCGCGACCTCCATACCCTCCCATCTAAGGTCACATCCTCGGTAAGATGAAATTGTGTCATGTCCTATCTAATCACCTCTCCCCAATACTTCTTTGACCTACCTCAACCTCTCATCCTACCCACTATATCCAACCTCTCACACCTCCTAGGGCATTTGCACATCTCGTCTTCACATGCCCAAACCATCTTAGCCTCCCTTTCCACATCTTGTCCACCACGAAGCAACTCCCACCTTGTCCCAGATATCCTAATTTCTAATTCCAATAGATCTTTGACTCAAAAGAAAAATTGCTGAAGGCTCAAAGCAGGCTTGCAGGGAAGTAAGACAGTCAAATAGCGATATACATAAATACATAATCTTAAAGTCAACAAAGGCAAGCAAAGCAAATGACTACTGTCATTATTCTTAAAGACAAATGTAGTGAATAGACCACCCAGTAATTCAAATTTAGTAGTGGGGACCGCATACCCATCAATTAAAAATAGTAAGGAAAGGAATTTTAACTTTCACACAAGAAAAGGATTTTGATTGATGGCTTTGAATTTCATGGAAGTGTTTTTGCGATATTAATCTCCTTTGAAGCTTTAACTTCTTTTTTTGAATCTGGTTACATTCTTTGAAGTTTTTAACTTTGACAGAATATTTTCACTTACACTAATTTCTTTTTTGGTTTGTGGGGCAAATGACGCATCCTCTTTCACTCCCGCTATTATGTAAAGCCGCACTCTTTGCTGTCCAAAAGTCATTTCAAGGTATTGCTCTTTCTGAAGAAGTTTCGAGACATCAAATCCTGTTTCCTCCAAGACCTGCATCCAATACAAAGCATAATTTAGAAAGTTGAATCAAATTGAGCATTGCACAAAGATAAACCATGGATAGTAATTTACATAAGATGAGAAATTGGCGAGGGAACCCATTAAAAAAGAAAGGAACAAAATGTTGGGGCCAAGCTCCTCGGAGGATAATCTTATCAACTACATATAAACCCACCAAGATTTTACCATAGTCAAAGTCTTCAACTTAGAGCAGTCAGATCCAGTACAAACTTATTTATCAGAGAAGTGTAAGAACCTAAACTCAACTAAAAGATTTTCCCTCCACTAATCCTAGATTAGTCCATCCATATGCTTTAAAAAGTTAACGCTCTTGCTCATTGTATCCCTACTCCTTGACTACTGAAAAAATAAACTACTGTCGACTTTGTTTCGACTCCTAGATAGCTTTAAACTAACTTCTGACAGGCTGATCCATAATGAATAAATATATTTGTTAAGCTACTCAGCTATTATTGCTCTTTTCCCTTTTGAATCACAAAGCTTGATCCAGAAATGATGGAACAATATATGCTATGTGTTATGATCTTTAGGGAACGATCGATTCAAGGGGCGATATATAAGTTCAGCTTGTTAAAGGGGAGGCTGAAACCTTAGAGTTCAATGGAAGAGAGAACTCTGATCTCTTCAGCTCATTAAAGGTCGTTAAAGGGAGACTGAAACCTTAGAGTTCAATGGAAGAAAGAATTCTCTTGTTTTTTGCTGAAATATGACTTGCTGATTTCTTCATTAGAAACCCCTTTAAGTAGGAGTTCTAGTGCAGCAATAGGAAGTCTAATCCTTGTGAAAGTAGGAAACCCAAATCTTATTTCAAGCTAATAACTATAGCTTAACCTTATCCTTATGAAGCTATGAAACATAAATCCTACTCTAGAATAATAAATAAAGCTACCCAAATTATAAATAAATCTACTTAAAAATATAATTAAATACTTAATTTATTGACTTCACTGCATCCACAACACCATGAAATGACTATTAGCAGCATTACCCCATCTTCAGTTGCCGCTCCTCCTTTCTATTTTCTAACATGACACAACATAACCACCATGGACCTTTACATACAGTCCACATACAATCCACTACTCATGTAGAACAGATATTGAACTTCCGTTATGGATTGGTCAAACCAGCTTTCTCCACCACTACAAAATATCTGCCAGCTCTTTTTTGTACAGGAGAGTCAAATACATCAAGTCAGACAACTATGCCTCAATATCAAGAAGTGGGATGGGCAATAAGAACTTCAATGTCCATAACAACATATTGTTCCATTTTACACCGTATTAGTCAAACTTAGAAAATTAGTTTCTCTACCACTAGAAGCTTTCTACATGTTAACAACAACGTACCCAGTGTCCCACAAGTGCGGTCTAGGGAGGGTAGAGTGTACACAAACCTTACCTCTTCCTAGTAGAGATACAGAGGCAAGTTTTCTACATGTTAAACCATGTTAAATTACTAATTTTGCTAACACTAAACCAATCTTGGCAAAATATTTCCGGTTGTTATCCATCTTTCTCCGGTCTCTAGAGCAAATCTAACTAGCTATTCATTTCTCTATCATGGAAATTCCTTTGAAAAACTAAGTTCCAACGTAATTGGTTCCATTGTACTAAATTTTTCGCTAAGCTTGCATGAATTTCAAGAGATTGTAGGTCTTTTAAGAATCGACACAATTTCTTTCCCTGTGATTTTAGGATTATCTTGTCACCTATGGATACCTTCACTCATCATGGTTGCACACCTACAGAGCATGCCATCTGGAAGATTTGGAGGTCAACATAGGACATAATCAAACTATCACAAATGATTTCTTATATTTTATTTTATTTTTGAGAATCGTGGTGCCATGGCAACTTGCAAGTGACATCTCATTTTATCCTTCTATGCACAACTGGCACCTTTTACCAAATGTTATCATTTTTATCTTTTCTAATTTGCATGATCACACAGTGCCGGTCCTAATCCCGAATAATGAGGGTTGTGCAGTTGTGGTAGGTTGACAACCAGCATAAAACTTGTCAATTCATGATAAATCATCATAATACAAATATCGTTCACATGAGGTAATACATCTAGACATGTATTACATCAGCACCTGATGTAATGAAAAATGAGCAAAGGGTTACATCACATTATTGTCTGCCTGAAGAAGTATGAGCAAGGGTTCCAACATCGTGGTTTGGTATATGTAAAAAAGTAAGTACGCCACATCAGCGTCCGGATGTGCTTCAGAACATGAAAGGGTTCCCACATTAGGGATAGGTGTGAGTTAAGAAGCTAGTTCCACCACAACAGTGCTCAGATGTGGTACAAAATAAGAAAGGGTTCTCGCATCATGGATGGATGAGGGTTAAAAAGATATTCTAGAAAGAATTATATTTTCAGTACGTACCTGGAACATAAACACTATAACTGGAAGCTCGATAGAATCATGGATACCCTAAAAAGGAGGGAAAGGGGAGGGGGGGAGTTGTTATTGCTTGCCTACAAAAAACTAAATGGGAAGGACAAACTGCTAGGGAGGTGGGTAACAATAGAATTTAAATCATTGTATAGTGGGATAGACAAAAGGGTAGAACTATTGTAGAAACAAGACGTATATGTCAAATTGTAAAAATAAATGAGTTTTAATAGGATTATTGCATTAAGGCAACTGTGAAGGATGGAGACAATAAATAGGATAAGAAATAGACGCTAAATCTAAATTTTTGGGAGGATATGGACGCCTTGGTTCAAGGGATAGTAGGAGACTGATAAATCTTTACAGGGGAAGAATTCAATGGTCATGTAGGTAAAGATGGTGAAAGTTTTGAACAACTACACAGGAGTTATTAGTTAAGGTACTAAGAATGACGAAGGGAAGACTATCTTAGAATTCTCTTTAGCTTATGACTTTAGTGGTAGCTGACACTTAATTTAAAAGGAGAGATTTGTTTTTGAAAAGGTAAAATTATGATTAATAAAGGTACCAAGAAGGCATATAGAAGTACAAGAAAATCAGACAATCCCTACTATAGACCAGATGTATATTCCTAAGTGAGTCCAAAAAATACATATATGTATCCATATTCTCTGCTTAGCTCTTCTTACACCAAAAGAACATATTTCTGAAGACAAAAATTCATGACTTAAAGGATATGATTCTTTCTATAATCAAAACACACTTCTCTTTTCTTTCCAAATAGTCTAGAAGATGCACAAAGAGATGGTCCTCCAGATCTGCTTCTGAGGTATTGTTATCTTCTGCTCATTCCAGCTCTCCGGTAAACTCTTAACATCTAAAGGCATTACCAAAACACCACCACACAAATTCAGGATAATCTCCCAACATCTCAGTTGCTCGGACTCTTTAAAAATGGCGACAGATGCATGTTGGATTCTCCAAAAGTAGTGCATTTTTAAGAATCCGACACAGGTGCGGCGACAGTTTTGGAGAGTCTAAGCAACATAGCACAGCGTTGCTTAGCAAATTTACAATGAACAAAAAGATGAGTGACCGACTCCAAAATTCTCTCTGCAAAGATATCATGTCAATTGGAACTTTCTCTTGAAAATTCTCAAAGACATAGGATTTGGAAGCAAATGGCTAAATTGGATTAAATTTTGCATTTCTAGTGTAAAATTCTCTGAAAGGGAGCCTTGGAGCAACATAATTGTGTTTGTGTGACCAATAGGTCATGGATTAGGCCGTGGAAGAAGATAATAATCCATGCATTAGGGTAGGTTGTGTACAGCACACCCTTGGGTGCGACCTCCCTTAGACCCTATTAACGCGGGATGCTTTGTGCACCGGATTGCCCTTTTTTCTACCCTAATGTAAAATCCTGAGTTAAGGGAAGTCTTGAAGGCTTTTTTCAATCCAAAGGGGTATTAGGCAGAGTGATCCACTATCACCGTTCCTAGTTTTGCTAGTCATTTCGTCTTAACCACATGTTTAGGATAGCCAAATCAAATTATTGGATCGAGGGCTTTGATAATCAAGTAATATGGTGATGGTCTAGAAATCTATCACTTATTTTATGCCGATGATTCTCTAGTCTTTTGTGATGCTGAAATGGGATAGATCAGACACCTTAGGGCAATTCTGACCATCTTTGAGGCTCTATCTTCTTGGTGAAGATATTTTTTTTTGGTGAAGATATTTGTTTTTGGTGAAGATCTTTGAAGTTCTATCTGGTCTTCATGTTAACTGGAACAAGAGTTCCATTTTTCCAGATACACAGGTGACCAATATACAATATTTGGCAGGTAACCTTGGATGCCAAGTGGAGTCACTACCCACTAAGTATCTGGGATTACCTCTGGGGGCAAAGAATAAGTCAATAGAAATATGGGATGATGTCCTAGAGATGTGACAAAAAAATTGGGCTGGATGGAAAACCCAACCTTTATCTCTGAGTGAGACGCTGACTCTAATCAATTTTGTGTTATATGTCTTCCTTACTTATATGGTGGCTATTCTACCTATCCCCAAGGGGGTGGAGAAAAAGATTGATAAATTAAAAAGAAATGAGTTTTTGTAATCCTAAGGCAATAAAGTGAATAAGAGCTTTAATATGGTAAGGTGGGAAGTTCTCACTTTAAATTAAAAAATAGGGTGGCCTGGGAATCAAGAAGCTAAGTTTGCATAAAAGGAACTTGCTACAAAGATGGTTAGGAGATTCAACTCACAAGAAATGGCAATATGGAGAAACTTTATCATTCAGAAATATGGGTTAGAGAGTCGGTGATCACTAAAGAAGTCAATAGTCCATTTGGTTGTTGTGTATGGAATACAGAATCGCTGACAGGATTTTCAAGAAAATGTGGAGATCATGGTGGAAATGCTAGAAAGACATCTTTTTGGTTAGATCATCGGTGGGTCACGACAGCCTCCAATCCACATACAGGAGTTATAATCAAGGTGGCTCTTGGAATGGAAATTGTCCTTGGAAACTTACTTGGAAAACCAAAATACCAGCTGAGGAATCCTGTTTTGTTGGCTGGTGACAAGGAAAGCTTGCTTAACTCAAGAAAATTTACAGAGAAGATGTATCCAGATTTGTTCAAGATGTATGCATTGTGGTCAAGATGGTGAAAACATTGATCATTTATTCATGCATTGTAGTACTACTAAAAATCTGTGGCACGTGTTCTTGTGTATTTTGGAAATAAATTAGGTTATGTCCAATTCTACTAGGGAGTTGCTAAGCTGCTGGAAGAATGTGGGGTGGAAAGAAGTGCTATGGAGGATTGGTGGCAGATCATCCCAGCTTGTATCTGGCGGACAATATGAAGGACAGAAATTCAAGGCATTTTGAAGACGAGCAGTACCAAAATTAGGATGAATTGTCTGAGTCTTTTTTTTACTTTTGGTGTAAACAGAACATGTGGGGGAAAGTAGGAGACTAGATAGATATAATTGGCAATGTGTAAGTGCATAGTTTTTTGGATAAGGTATCCTTTCGATTGGGTGAGAATTTTTAAGTAAGGCCTTCATTTCCCTTTGGAAAAAAAAGAGTGTTGGGTAAGAGAGGAAGTTGCAGAAGTGCTTCTTGACAAAGTAGGGGGAGGTGAGTCTTGTCTCCTTTCACTTTGTCATACTCGGAGGTCCCGAGAGTACATGCCAGACAAAATGACGGTGGCTCCCATACGGGGAATTGTCGGGTTCTTATGGATGAATTAACTAGAAATTGGTTGGAATTGGACTTTAAGGCAGCCTCGTAGGAGACATTGGATGAAACCAGCCTTCAAAGGTGGAGGAGTAAAAACCAACTTTCGATTCAAATTAGAGAAATGATGAGCTTTAGCAGCTTCGGTTCATTAAGGTAATATATATATATAGTATACTCCTTGTATACAGACACATTCCTCTTTAATGGACATTATTACTCTATCAAAAAAGAGTAATTTATCCAAATAAACACATCTCCTGCAATTGAAGAACTGGAAAACATATACACTTCCACAAGCATTCATGAGATCTTTAATGTCAATTGGAGAACTAATTAGTAAAGAGAACTGCATACTTCTCTAACTGCACATGAGTGGTCCTCTTCATCCTTGTTCTTTTTCCCACGTGGAAAACTCCAACTTGAACCCTTCCATCCCTTTACTAGCAAGCACTGCAGTTGACATAAATAATCAATGAGATCTAATGTCTTTAAGAAAGTGCCATAAAGGATTACAAGGATATGCACCTATTTAATTTTGTAGATAGCGCAACTTATATGCTTAAATTGAGGAAAATCATACAAATAAATAGAAAGAGAGAGAGAAAAGACTGTAGTTAAATGAATGGTCCTCAAAAAGTCAAAGCAGCAACAATTTGAGATCCGGTAACATATTAGTTACTTGGTCATTCATGATTATAGGTCCTAAAAGTCGCACGCTCAATAAAGCACCAATCACCTAACAGAATCTAGTAAAGATACCTTTCTTTTTAAATGGTAACAGTAATCTTATAAAGATACTATTTACAAGGAACTTGAATATGCTGCTTTGATGCAAACGGTACTTACCCGTTCAAAAGTCTCATCAAGGATGATGGCCCCAGTTACAGGAACTCGAACCTTGTAAGAGGTAAAGTCCTTGAATATGTCATCTATGTGAGGAACATATGGTTTTAAAACATCACAATTGTTAAACACTGTAATGGATTAAGGAAAACCCGAATGTTCATATACTCAACCTCAGATACACCAGCCAAGTAGAAGTAAGCATAGCAACTTACGAATGAAAGTCAGAAACAGTGGCCCTATATTATATGTCACAATAATTCTTTCTTTAAATTTTATATTTCCAGTCTTTATAAACATGTTACAGGTTCAAGGAGCTCTCAAAGCAAAGTTGAAAAAAGAAAGAATACAAAGATAACACTCAGCTCTAATTAAGAGAAACATCTAAACCCTTGGCCAAAAAGAGTATATACAATGACGAGAGACTATGACTATGGAAAACATAGCAATATCAAAGCTATCCCCCCCCCAAACCCACCTTTCTTTTGAATTACCAATATCAAAGTCATGCTTTATGATCAAATGAGTGGAAAGCAAGCCCAAGTGGCTAGTTTAAATGCAAAAAGAAAAGGCGAGAGGGCATTCATGTTCAAAAGAGTAAATCATGCAAATTCAATGAAAGAGGTAAGTTGCGTGCAAGATCGATATAGGATTCCCTGCATTTAAATAATTATAGATCTGGGTTTAGGTTCTATCATCAAAGGATACTTAAGGAAGTAAATTCCTTGAGGGTTATAGACTTCAATGACGGATTGTAGTCCACAGTATTGTCTTCATAAAACCAATGTGCGCACTCCACAAGAAACAAAATCCTCTCAAATGATTGCTGATCTTCTTTTGGCACGTTCAAAATAAACCGACTGTGTCAAGGAAATAGAACACATCCATCAAGGGAAGACATACCAAATGCATAACCTCGCAATATCTACCATTTACCAAGTAAAGTCAACTGATATCACAAGTTGCTACAACCAACTTCAAGAAATTGAAAAAGAAATAGGAAACGCTATATGCAAGGACAGAATGCATCTATTATCGAAGTCATAAGATTTCTTGACCATGACTCAGAGATTAAGCTTGCTTAAGACTTACAGTGTTTATAATATTGACAAAGGGAAGTCATCTGTATTCCTCAAATAAAATACTAAAATGAAATTTCAATGTATGTCAGTTCCAAACTATTTTGTCATCTATATTTTCTTTAATCGTTTTGCTCTTTCAACACCATTTCATACCAGTACTGGAACTTCCAACCTATTTAACACACATAAAGGTGAGGGATGACTAGCATAGGAATAACAAGTTGAAAATTCCTGTTTCGAATTCCAATTATGACACTTAGAGTGAGCACATATCCTATAGCCTTGCTGAGCAGAATTAACCGACACCTTTTCAATGTGGAGCATAAAGTTTTAATCTAAAATTGAACAAATGGTAGGTCTGAACCCATAATTTTAAAAATACAATGGGCTTAATGGGAAGAACCTTATATATTGAACCTATAGAGTAGAAATCCTAGATCCACCACTGAGTAAATCCTTTATCCAATCTTGCAACTACTATACTTTGGGAAACTCTCATAGACAGTTAAAACAGATTAAAAAACTCAATTTTGAACTTAGGCAAATATGCAATCTCCAAGTACACTATCTCACAGCCAAGACCAAAGTATAGGTTGAATCACTACTTATCAAGAAAATTAGGTTGAATCATTAAAAGATACAACAGGAAAATGCTAAATTTCGAAATTGTGAACTATACAAGTACACCATTTCACATCCAAATCCAAAAAATAATTTGAATCACAGAAAAAAAAAACAATAGCAAAATGTTAAATTTTGAACTTATGAACCTACAAGTACACCATTTCACATCCAAATCCAAAAAATAATTTGAATCGCTGAAAAACACAATAGGAGAACACTAAATTTTGAACTTATGAGCACTACAAGTACACTATTTCACAGCCAAATCCAGAAAAAAATTGGCTTGAATCACTACTAATAAAAAAAAAGGTTAGCTTGAATCACTGAGAAATACAACAGGAAATAGCTAAACTTTGAACTTAGGAACATTTAAAAGTACACTCCTTCACATCCAATCCAAGAAAATAGCTTAAATCACTAAAAATTACATCAAGAAAAAGCAAAAATGAAGTTTAGCAGAATCACATAAACAGCATAGCGCACCTGCAAAGATCGTCAATGAGTTCCTTAGGAGGAAGCCCATTTTTCGATGGAGCGCTAGAAGATCGATTCAGCCCTGACATTTCCGATACCTAAAATTTTCAAATAAATTATAAAAAAAAAAACTAAAACCCTAATTTCGATCTGGAGATTTTGACGTACGTATATACATATACTACTACGTATTTTTCTACGTATATACGTATGAATAGAGAGAAAATATTGAAGTGAAGTCAAGAGGAAAGAGCTTTCTTCTTAAAATTGAAACTGAAAAAAAAGCTCTTCCTCTGGATTTTTCCCTCTTTCTGGTTCTCAGCTTGTTGAAATTCACTGAGTGATGATGCTGAGGGTAGTTTCGGAACTTTCATATTATTTGCCATTTACTTCACTTTTTTCTCTTCATCATAATACTAATATAATTAACGCGGGATAAGGTGAGATATTTTCGTATTAAGTTTGGATTAGATTTATATTATATTTAGTTGACGATATGATTTATTTTAGAAAATAATTATCTAAATGTAGCATAAATCTAATCTCAAATTTAATTTTGGATATTGCATCAAACGTGAGATTATCTTAGGATAAATTAGTTCAAGGACTATAATCTCAAGAGTCAAGACTATAGTTTGTGGATAAGTTAGTCCATGTATTAAATGACCTTATTTGTTTAAATTCGTAACACAATGATTTCCGTTGTGGTTTTGTGTTTTATTTTGTTCAGATATTAAAATCTTATTGAACAAAGTTATTTTGTTTAAAATCAAGTTACCTTAGGATTATAATTAGTGGTAAGTATTAAAATCTGATTGAGTATTCAGTGTTTAATTTGTGATATGACGATTTGCATTGCAACTTGAATTTTTTTTAATCATAACTAACTTTAGGCATTAAAATTCTACTGTGTAGGGATCGTTTGGTTTGAACTCAAGTTAAGCTAGGATTAATCATGTTAAGATTAGTTATATTGAAACTAGTTATTCATTAATACTCCATCTATCTGATCCATTTTATATGAATTGCCTTCTTTTTTAGTCCATCCAAAAAAAATGATATATTTCTAAATTTAATAACAATTTAACTTTAAAATATCTCGTTTATCCTTCTTGAAATAATTTCTAGCCACACAACTATCTTATGACTTATTTTAAACCTTAAATTTTGAAAATCTTTCTTTCTTTCTTAACTTTCATGTCAAGTCACACTAACCTATATAAATTGAGACTTTCTTATTGATTGTTTGATTTTGTTACGTTAAAAATAACATGTGTTACATAAATTATAAGATAACATTTTGTAGGAAAAACTTAAAAATAAACCATTACTATTTGAGAATTGCCTGATAACAAATAAACTGCAAAAAGAATTCCCATCCTAAGGACAAGGATAAAAGCCTAAAACATCTAACAAGACCAACACTGACCCAAACTAACTTTTTTTAACTAAGAAACTTAATTAACACTAGTCTTAGCCCTTAATCTAATCTCCTAAAATATAATCATCTACTTTTTTTTTTCTATTTCCATATTACATCCCTATACAAAAAGAACATTGAACAAAGCAATTGAAAAAAAAACACTAGCCAAATAACACTAAGAACTGAAATGACAGACTCTATGACTAGGAAAAACTGTTTCTCTGATTCTTTTCATTCACTTGTGCTCCTCCTCAACCGAAACGTTGTTGCTTGGGTTGAACTCCGGTTGGGTGGCTATTGCTGGTGACGAGGTCCTGGCTATGGTGTCGTTGTCTGGGACAATGGTGGTTCTCATTTCGAGAACCTTCTTGTGAGAGTTTGAGTGCAATGCTGGAACAAATGTAGGACTTGCAGCTGGCCGGTATTCAGGGAAGAGTCGTCCTGACTTGTAACGAACACCACAGGCGTTGCAGAGAGTTTTTGGTCCCATTGGACCGGCCCTCCATTGAGGAGTCTTTGTTATCTCGCAATGCTGGCATTTCCTAACTGCTTGCTGTGCCACTGGATTCTGATTTGTCTCGACCGGAGCTAGAGGAACAGAGAATTTGATCTTCTTTTTCTTTTTCTGTTCTGGTGCAGCCGGTTTCAGATTCTTCTTCATGGGAGACTCCGCGAAATTTTCTGATTCTGTTGGAACTCCTGGAGCAACAAATACTGGGAAGGGATTAAAAGTTGTTGGGCGAGGACGCTTGGTCCGAGCACGTTGTGGACCACGGTGGCATGGACTAAGGGGTAAAGTTTTTTCCCCCGAGCTGGAAAATGACGAGCTGCTGCTGCTGCTGCTTTCAAGCACAGACACGGGACTCGAAGTCTGGAACTTGCCTTGGGATAACGGCTCTTTCTCAACAGGAATGTTTTCTTTCCCAAGAGTCAATCCCCCACCAGAGAAAGAATCTTCCACAAATGTTGAAAGCCATTCAAGCTGGACAATATCCTCATACTGTAACACAAGAAAACAAACATATCAGACAAGCAGTTCAGAGTTGTAGTTTGAAATACAAGTTTCTATTCACAAACTATATGTTGATTTATGACACTCTTGTGTGCAAAATTAACACCAAAGCAAAAGAATAGGAAGTCAAACATCACTTAGTATATGTAATGTCCCTTTCTATGATGACTAGACTTTTGAGAGAATGTTGGTTCAATTTTGCACATAGTTGCACAATCTTGCTGGTGCAAATTGAATGATATTATCTGTCATTCATAATGATGGCAAGGGATGGAAGTTGAAATAGACTGGACTTGTCAATCCCAACTACCCTGAGAGAAACACCCATAACCATTAATTACTCTGACCAAGTATCATATGGCTAACCACCAAGGAGTATGGTGGGAAGAATGGTTTTTCCTTCACACTTAATCAAAGGCCTCGGGTTAGAGTCTTGGAGACTAAGAAACGCGTAGTATGAAGCATTTCTCCTTTTAGTAGGCCCTACAATGTGCGAATTTCAAACCAGTCACCACTAATATGAAAGATTGACTTTATCACCAGTATCCCCAACCCCCTAACTAGAAGTTTCAAGTTTTGAGTCTTGGAAACGGAGGAACTCCTGATATGGAGCATGTTTCTACATTTAGTTGGAAATCCAGATTAGTCACTACTAATATGAATGGGAAAAAACGACTTCAGCATATGTGTGGTACTCTCTCACCCTGAATAACAAGAGGTTATGGGTTCAAGCCCAGGAAGCGGAGTATGGGGCATTTCTCTCTTTAGTGGGCCCTACGACGTGCAAAATCTAGATAAGTCACCATTAATATGGCAAAAAAGATGATTTCACCATATGTGCTAGCATCAGTCCAACTCTAAACACAATCAAATATAATAGAAAACAAATTGTGTTGAACTTCTTTAACACCGACAGCACAGCTGGCTGGCAGATACCAACAAAATTATATGATAGTCCATCAACTAATCATCATTAAATCCCCATTAAAGAGCTAATCTCTCCAATTATAATATATTAACTTAATCATTCACTAAGCAAAATATATTTAAACCTTTACATCTAATCACATGACTGAGACATAAAAATAGAATTAGACCCCACATGAATCACTTAAACTTGACCATTTTTCATTAAACACAGATTTAAGTTAAATACACTGACAATAGTAGAGACAAACGTAACACTCACCGGAACTGAGAGCTCAGCTGAGAGGTCGGAGGCAGAATTCCGGTGGCTGCCAGAGAAAAGGGAGTCGGAATCCGGCAAGGGGTCATTCCAAATGCTTGGAAAATCTTTGCAATCAGTAGAACTAAGGCCAACATTCTCATTCTCAAGAGGGAAATCAATCAAATCATCAATGTGGTCAAAGAAGCTGCCACAATCTATCTCATCTACCACATTTGACCCCATAGTTTCTTGATTTTTTTTCTACTCTAAAACCCTTTACCTGCACAAGTTAACACAAAACCATTAACAATGACCCCAAAAAGAAATTTCATCAACTTCCAATTATCCAACAAATGAGAGCTACATTATATATACACATTTTATAGGGACAAAAGTGAATTTTAATGTGAAGGGTAGGGGCCAAAAACCACACCATATACTTAAGCTGGAGCCAGAGTGTCAAAATGGGGCATGGCACATTTAGAAGAAAAAGGTTGAATTTTTTTTGGAATTTTGTTAATCCAAAATGAATATTTATCAAGATTCTTGTAATATTAAGAAAATAATTTCAAAAAGAAAAAATTGGGAAATTTTCAAAATTCACACCGACTGTACCGACAACGAGAGATATTTGCAAGAAAAATGGATTTTAAAAAAAAATATATTGGAAAATTGCAAATAAATGCAAATTTAAAGCAAACTTTAAAAATGAAAGAACTTGTAGACTCAATATGCAGAAAAAAGCTTCAGAGTGTCAAAAATGCATAAAAATAATCTAAACTAGGAAAAAGATGGAAGAAAAATTGGAACTTTTATGCCTAGACATATCTAGTAACCAAAATTTGTTGGCTCATTTGAAGCAACACACAACAAAAAAGACTTAAATCTTTTTCCTCTATGCTTCTCTGTTAATGAATCAAACAAACTTGAAATTTCAGAAAAAATGGAACCTTTTTTGTTCTTCCCTCTCTTTTCTTAGTAGTAAACAAACATACAATATGAATTTTTTCTTAGGAAACAGTGAAATTTCAGAAAAGGCTCAACTCCCAAGAAAACATCAGAATTTTGAAGTCTCTGAGAAAGTGAATGAAGGAAGCTGTGAAAAAAACAAGAAAACAAAAGTAACAGACAGTATACTCAGATTGAAATTGTAACCAAAAAAAGACAAAAACTTTGAAGCACCCACAAGAAAAAATGTACCTCCATATGAAGTAGATTAACAGTATGTACCTTAAAGAAGACAAAAGCAAAAACCCACAAATAAAAAAATATATTTTCTTGAATGAGTGAATGAATAATATGTACCTTGAAGGAACTAGTAGAAGGAAAAGAGATATGAAGGTTTATGGTGAAAAATTGGGAAATGGAATGAAGAACATGAATACAACACTAAACAGACAGTTCATATAACAAGACAAACTTTGCAACAACCACCAAAAAAAAGTATACCCCACAAATGAAATATATGCAATTTAAAGAAGACAACAGTAAGAACCCACAAAAAAAGACTCCATTTTTATGAATGAGTACAATGAAATGGACCCAAAAAGACAGAATTTTTGCAACATCCACTAAAAAAGATTACATTTTTACTGTTATAAACAGAAAAAATGAATGCACTACATTTACCTCGAAGAAACTAGTAAAGAAGAAGTTGAAGGGGTTTTGCAAAAGTTGGAAAATGTGTAAGTAAACAACACTAAACACACAATAGACTCAAATAGAACTAAACCCAAAAAAATAAGGGGAAAATGAT